AGGAGGCCATCCACTTGCCTCCCACTCCGGACATGTTTGGAATGGCTGTAGGAGAAGGTGAGAACTGGGGCGCTGGAGCTCGAGCGTGCGAGAATGGATGAGCGAAGGATGAAGAAGGCGTGGGTGAAAAAGGGGAATCCCTATATCTTTATAAAGGCGGTAGAAACCGCGCGCCTCCCCACTTGCCCGTTAAAATCGCTTATTCCCCAAGCGCCACGATTGATGGCACGGTTGGGTTACCCATGCCCGTATTGATGAGAATCCCGCGATAAGGGGACACGATCTCTGCTTCGACAAGACGTGTCAAGGAAACCGCCTCACATTATGTGCAATTGCTGGTTGTGAAAAATGGTTCGAATAAAGACCGGGCCGTGGCGTGACGTCACGCTATGAAAAGTTGTCAGCAGATTAGATTTGTGGAATATTGTGCTCTCTACGGGGGTATGTGGAATTTGTTTTGCAGAGCCGGACATGATTCTTGTGTTCAAAATCTTCTATGGAGTATCCGGAGAAGGAACCCGCCTTGCAATACCGAAGACAATCTGCGCGCCGGACTCATCGTCATTGAAGCCTGGTTCAGGGGCTACTGAGAGGAGTCCTGGATTAAGGGGTCCTCGGACAGCCGGACTATATACTTTGGCCGGACTGTTAGACTATGAAGATACAAAATTGAAGACTTCGTCCCGTGTCCGGATGGGACTCTCCTTTGCGTGGATGGCAAGCTTGACAATTCGGATATGTAGATCTCCTTCTCTGTAACCGACTCCGTGTAACCCTAGCCCCCTTTAGTGCCTATATAAACCGGAGGGTTTAGTCCGTAGGACAAGAACAATCATAATCATAGGCTAGCTTCTAGGGTTTAGCCTCTACGATCTCGTGGTAGATCAACTCTTGTAATACTCATATAATCAAGATCAATCAAGCAGGAAGTAGGGTATTACCTCCATCGAGAGGGCCCGAACCTAGGTAAAACATCGCGTCCCCTGCCTCCTGTTACCATTAACCTTAGACGCACAGTTCGGGACCCCCTACCCGAGATCCGGCAGTTTTGACACCGCCAGCCGCTTCTCGGTGCAGGAAACTGCAGCGCATTCAAATGACATGACGGCCGCCCGCCCATCCATCTGCCGCCCGCAATTATGGCACGCTGTTGCCGAGGCATCTCCTCTGGTGCCATCTGTCCGTCCCTCCGCCACCCGCTGATGTTATATAAACCACTGTCTCGACCATAGATGCAGTCATCCTCCTTCGCACCACTGGCCCCATGGATTCCTCCGCCGCCAAAGCTCTCTGGGACGGGCTAACGTCGGAGCAGAAGGAGATGGCCACCATTGCTGTCGGCTGGCAGGCCGGCAGGCAGACGGAGGAGGATGACGACGTGCAAATGGAGGATGCCTCCTCCGACGAGCCAGTGCCACCCTCCTCCCCCATGCCACCCTTGATTGTGCATTGCACCATGACCATCGGCGAGGCCTCTGTCCATTACATGAACATGGTGTGGGAGGAGCAGTTCCGGCAGGCGCATGCCGACGCCACCTATAACCACCACCTCCTCCAAGACGATCTGCAGGCTGAAGAGCAACTCACCACCGGCAGGGCGGTCGCGCCGGACGCGGACCTGGCGGAGCAGGAGGCGCTGCTTGAGTCCTACTGCTCCACCGACGAGATCCGCCTCGCCCGCTGGCAGTACCGCAAGCGGGTGGTGGAGGTGGTGGCCGCCGGCAAGGAGTGCGACGACAAAGCGGGTGAGGCGGTCTTTGGTGAGACTGACGAGGAGGAGGAGGACAACACCGAGGTCGCGCCCCGCCACCACGACCACGAAGAAGCCGACACGTCCGCGGGTGCCGCCGACAACAAGGAAGAGTACTGCACAGTAGGTTGCCTGTGCTCTGGTCCCAGAAAGGCCACCGCTCCTCCCCTCCCGTCGACACCAAGCTTGCTGGGCTCAACATCAGTGGCTGATTAGTCACTTGGCGGCGATGTGGAGGCGGACAACTTCAATTCCCGGGGCTCTGGAGGCGGAGCTGCAGAGTGCCGAGGCGGAATTGGAGATGGTGAAGCTTCAGTTCTCGGGGTTGATGGCCGGAAACGGGTACCGGACACCGGCAATCATTTAGATTAGGTATTAATTATACTCCGAGTTGACTAGCACCGCTTTGATGTAATTGTAATTAAATTCGTCATGTTTATATGAAATCCGACCATGTTTATATGAAATCCGGACTTGTTTGAATGAATTTCGTCCGGTTAGTTCGAGTTGTTACAAAATGTATGCGGCTACAGTTGGATGGCTGCCTCCCGCATCCGTGTCGGCGGACTTGTCCCCCTGTCCGTGGATGGATGCGGGAGGATTTTGCGGGTTGCAGTTGAAGATGCCCTAAGTAGGATCATAACACACGGAATTTTTCAGTTCTCTAGAACCATCATGAAATTTTAGGTGGACATAGAGGCGACTAGTTTTCTTTTTAGGTGGACAATGAAAAATCCAATTAAATATGGGGTACTATTTGCGAGCACAGCTATGAACCATTGTGTCGTGCCACGATCGTCCTTACATGTGGCCCCCCTTGTCGGTTAGGGAGAGTAAAGCTATTAGTGCGATTTGCAAAAAAATGGAATTCGCGTGCGGTGTTTTTCGCAACAAATTTAAGAAAGAACCTTTTCTGCAATTTAGTCCACATTTGAACTAAGGCCCTGTTTGGTTCATAAGTCCTAGGACTTTTTTTAGTCCCAACTTATAAGTCTCAAGTCCCTAAAAAGTCCCTACCTGTTTGGTTCCTGGGACTTATAAATCCCTATAAGACCATATTACAACTATAAGTTCCTATAAGTCCCTCCTTGAGAATCTTATTTAATAAGTCCCAAATGCCCACTTTAAGTCCCTATAAGTCCCTCATCTCTACTCCTAATGGAGCAGTTGGTATTCTCGCTTCCAGGTTTTTTTTCGTCCCACCTACCATGGTTTTTTTGGTACCTCCTCCCACCTTCGCTGGTTTTTTTCGTAAATTTTTTTTCGTCCCCTCCCCCCACTTCATCGATTTATTTTCGCTTCACCCTCTCACACACCGAAAAAAACTGAACGGATCAGAACTTTCCATACTGACACAAATTATTTAGTAATGTCTTTATGTAAAAGAATCAATCACAATCAATCTCTAAAGATCAAATCTAAATTAATTAATCTTCATAACATTTGTTTCCTTCCGAATCAGGTCCATAACTTTCCTTCCTTGTTTGGGCAGAAACTGTTTGGTAGCAGAGATTAGGAAGCTTCCTATGAGCGTAGTAATAGGAAGTATTCTTTTTCTTGATGATTCGTTTCCATGCATGATGATAGTAAATTGGGCTAACATTCACCACTATTTATCAACGTCATCAATCGTGTCCATTCCTACCAGTTTTAAGGGAATCCATTCGCTACGTCTTTTTTAAGAGGATCCGCTCGCTACATCGTTGTGGCACGTTATTTTCACAAGCAATTCCCCTAAAAAACACAGCGCCCTACCTCGACTTCCCTACCTGGACGCCGCCGCCGCCGCCCACCGATCTCGCTGCCTCCCGGCGATCCCCTCCTCCCTCCCGCAGCTCGAACGACCCACTATTTTGGCCACGAGTACCGCCTGCCTCTTCGCCCATGCGTCGCCCCTCCTCTTCACCATAGCCACGAGCACCATCCGAGGCGGAGCCGTGGCGCCTCCACAGATGCGACGGAGACACCATATCCGGTGGAGACGGTAGTGTAAATCTTCTCCCACTCTGCTCCTTCCCCTGGTTACCGGCCTGCTCCACCTCCCCTCTGCTTCGTGTGGATCTGCTCATGTGCAGCAGTAAACTTTATTTAGGTAGAACTATTCTTCAGGACTTTTTTTGTTACTTACAAATTAACTTTTTGAGCCAATGCTTACGGCATGAAATATTACCTAGAGTTCCTTAATCAATCTGCTTGTCCATCGTTTCATTTGGTTCAATTACTATCAGCAAGAACGCATTGTGAAACCGTTAGCTTATGAATGTGTGCTCTTCCTCATGAAGTATGGGGTTTTTTTTTGTCCCACCTCCCATGGTTTTTTTGGTACCTCCTCCCACCTTCGCTGGGTTTTTTCGTAGATTTTTTTCGTCCCCTCCCCCCACTTCATCGGTTTATTTTCGCGTCACCCTCTCACACAATGAAAGAAATCTGAACAGATCAGAACTTTCCATACTGGCGCAAGTTATTTAGTAATGTAGAATCAATCACGAACAATCTCTAAAGATCAAATCTAAATTAATTAACCTTACCTTAAATCGCTCAATCACATTAATTAGAAAACAAATAATTGATTTTCAGAAAAAAAAATCGCTCAATCACATTAACCTTACCTTAACTCATGGATGGTAATCAATCTCCAAACAAAGGAAACAATACATCGAGGGAGCGGTAAATAAACTCCCTTTCTTATGACATGTATATGATCTTCCCTTCCCTCTCCGTTGCCGAGCGTTCTTGATTCTCAAGGCCCATGCTTGGGCTACGTCACTGGGTCGTGACGGTGCCGGAGGACGAGAACGGCGAGGCCGGGTGCCGCGGCACCCCGTTGGCCGCGGCCGTTGAAGGGGGCGAAGAAGGGCGGCTTCCCTGGCCCTGGGAGTTGGTGCGGTGGAAGCGGCACTTGAAGGACCCGGCGTGGGTGGCCAGCACGCAGACGCACTTGGAAGCGGGCCACATCCTCCGCGTATTCTTGGAGCTGTGGCTAGCCGATTTACATGGAATTAATTTCCTCAGTTGTGGTGGCAAATATAATACACATAATCCATATTGTTATGCACTAGCGTGTGTGTGAAATAGATTGATTATGGTCCCGTACCCAATAATATGGATATGTGTGTGTGTGTGTGTTAGAGAGAGAGGGGGCGGGGAGTGAGGAAAAGGGAGGCAGAGAGTGTGTGTGAGGATTTGATAGTAAAAAAGGTCGTCAATGTCACTGGATATGTATGAGAATATTAGTATTGAACTCTTAAAGTTAATGTGGCCCCGTTGCAACGCACGGGCGTTCTTCTAGTGTTTGGTTTAGATGGGACTTATAGGAACTTTTTTAAGTCTCTAAGCCAATAAATCCCTGGAAACAAACGTCCTCTAAAGCCACAACTTCACCCGTAACATATATACCAGCAATCGTGCGAGCAAAACAATAAATGAACGGACACATAACTGTACATACATATCACATATTTGATCGATCAATGGATTAAGTGAACATTACTATGTATCCAGAAGAATGCGACCATGAGAGTACTCCGTATGACATACATATGGCTGTACATGCATATCACATATGGCATACTCCGTATGTGATCGATCAATGAATTAAGTCAACATTACACGTATCTACAAAAATGCGACGAAGAGAAAGAGAGTCGATGATCATGCCATCATCATGACCCTGAACTCGTCGAACGAGAGTTTGCCGTCGCCGTCGAGGTCGAATCTGCATATCATTGCCCGGCACTCCTCCACGCCCAGCTCGTGCGACCCCAGCCTGCTCAGCGTCCGCCTCAGGCTCGCCGGCGTAATCATCGTCGTCGTCGTGTCTTCCACGGACGACGACGCGTACATCCCGAAAGCCTCCCTCAAGCACCTTCGCTTCACGTCAGCATCGTCCGCTTCATGGGCGCCGGCGGCGGCCAGCCTCGAGAACTCTTCTTGGTTTAGCAGTCCGTCACCGTCGGTGTCCACCGCCGCGAGGGCCGCCACCGCCTCCTCCTCAGACACGTACTCGCCCAGGGTCGCCTCCGTGCAGCGCCGCAGCTCGGATGCGGACACCTTGCCGTCGCCATCCTTGTCGAAGGCGGCGAACACCGACGGCACCGCCATGATCGAGTGACTATTCGTCGATCTTGCTTCCTTTTCGCTAAATAAGTGTTGCTGATGACTAGCTGATTGGGAGCTGCGAACTTGATTTGTATGCCTTGTTGATGGTATAATATGGCGCATGTATTGCGGGGTATATATACGCGCATGAACGGAAGACAAGATGTTGGCATCGACGAAAAACAATGCATATGTGAAATTTAGTATATCCGTGTTTTCTACGCGTACAAGTCCCTTCGAAGAAGTTTACCATCGATCATGGAGGTACTAAGTAAATGTGGCGCACGCGTGGACCTCAATTCCTTGCGTCAATTCATTTGAATCCGAATGATTTGAATATTGCTCACCAAGCCTGCCGCGCGGTCCTTGCGTCAATTAATTAAGCACCATGAAACCATGTTCTATATCCAAGGGCCAAATGTTTATGACAGCACGTGGATTGATGGATATGACGAATAATGAAGCTCCATCGATCGGCAACGCGGCCGTCAACGGCCGACACCGCCGACGACGCCAACGCGCTGGGCGAGATGTGCACGGCATGGCAGCCATAGTAATAGTTGTCTAGAGCTTAATTGATTAATTATTAGTAGGAAAAAAAATCATATTTCCAACTGCCTAGCAAGAAAACTACTGCTAATCAGTTACAAAGTACTCATACATAACCTAAAAAATGTTTTATATTTTAATACGGTGGTAATAGCTTTTTTTCTTTCTAAAAATGAATATTGTTCCCGATGGATGGGATGTGTCATGCATAGGCGCAGAGCACCTCAGCCCATACTGCTACACAATTCGATGGAGGTATGTATCTGCTATTCAAACCCGAGAATGGCGACGGTGTGGACGAGCTCGTGCGCTCCCGCTAGCTGGACGAACGACTCCATGACGCATAGTACAGCGTATTTTTTTTTTGAAACGAGGCAAAAAACTTGCCATTTTCATTGATTAAGAAGAAGTAAGAATTGCCCGGTTAATTGACGGAAAACCGGGCTAAAACCAATACAACCCAACCCATATAACATGGGCACCACCGGCCAACCTGGCCACCGACATGAAACATGAGCTGCAAAGAAGAAAAGACATCCGCCGGGGAGTCGCAAGCGTCATCGTCATCACCGGTTATCTCCGAACGGGCGACTCCGACTTCACCATAGAGCTCCACCAACAAGTCGCCCTCGCAAACAGCTACACAGAGCAATGACGGCACATGCCAACAGATGACCACACGCGCCAACAACCGACAACTTCGACTTTGACGACGAGCCTCACAAGGGAAATATGCAGGACTTGCGCCGACCGTGCCCTAAAGAGCACCTCGGGCACGCCGGGAAGATCTGACTACCAAAGCCCGAGCCGCGACCCAAGCTCCTCTTGACGCCATCATCGTTGCCAAACAGAAATCGGCGCCCCTGAAACGGCCGCCTCAGCAAACCACGCAGCGAAGATGCCGCCCTTCCACGCGGCGAAGATGCCGCCATCCCACGCGGCGAAGATGCCGCCCTTCCATGCGGCGAAGATGCCGCCATCCACCGGTCTCAGGTTGTAGCCGGCTCCAAGATGATGCCCCCAAGGAGGAAGAAGACGTGAAGACGCCTTGATCGCCCGATCCCGCAGATCAAAGGTTTCCCTCCGGAGCCAAGGCCGCGGGGTGAGGGGTGGAGCACCATACATCGACGACGCTTCCAAGAAAGAGCGCGACGCCCACAGGCGCCGCCGTCGCCAGCTCCGGCAAAGGCCGGAAGAAGGATTTCTCCCTGAGATGTTCGACCACCACCAGCCCGTACCGGCCAACCACAGACCTCCATCAAACCTCCCTAAAACCTCCACCAAACCAGCACCGCAGAGCACCGAGAGGAGCCTCCCGTCAGCGCCCGCCCCTGCCAAGGCCGTCCCGCGCGCCCGCCCGACCAGATGCCGGGCCCTGGACGCACACCACCGTCACCGCCATCGGGCCGACCTCACGCCGTCGCCCTCACCAGGCCTTGGGGCAGGAGGTCACCGCCGCCACGCCGCAGGAACCGCACCACGCGGAGACAACGAACAGGCTGCAGCAGAAAACCCCCGAAGAACTCCCGGATCCAGCCACGCCCGGCCAGATCCAGCGTCCGCCAGCCTCCCCGCCGGCCACCAAAGCACCACCGAGGCTCCCGCGCCGCCCAGCCGAGCAGGAACGGTGACCCATCGGGGAAGCGCCGAGATCCGGAGCACCACGCCCCCAAGCCGAGCGCCGCCAAGGGAGAGGCAGGAGCACCACCAGGCCTCGCCGCCGCGCCGCCCACGCGGCCGCAGCAGCCGACAACCGCCGCGAAGACCGGGCCGCCGCCCGAGATCCAGAGCCGCCCGCGCCGCTGCGGGCCAGGAGAGCCCCGCCGCCGCCGTCCGCTGCGCGGGCTTAGCCCGGCTGCGTCATTCGGCGGCGGCGAGGGGAGGTGGAGGGGGCGGGGTGGGACGAGGCGCCGGCGGTGCTGGGCTCCGCCCGAGCCGCCCAGAGGCGACGCGGGGGACGGGAAGGGGTTTTGTAGTACAACGTATTTACTGCTATGGTGTGCATTGACGTCGAGTACAGGTGCTCCACTGTCCAAACTAACCCGAAAGTAGCGGCTCAGCTTCGTGTTGTTCCGTTGAAACATGAATGTCGGAGCGGCCCATAACCGAATGCCGCCGTCAACTTCCGCTATTGAGACGGCGTCCTCCGAAAGGGTACTTGGGTCATTGGGTGCCCAACTCTGACAAGTAAAAGGGTACCCATGTTTGGGCCCATGGTCGTCTCGGCGTCGCTAAACAGTAAACACCGTCTCCCACGTCGTTAGTGCCCGTCACGCACACACATTAACTCCCCTAACCACCCATCGGTCCCACATCGGAAATTACGCATCTCGATGGAAAAGAACACCTCTAGATACCGATAGCGCGCGAGCTTGTCCGCGCCGGTGAATTTCCGATTCAAACCCCCTCTTGTTTCTGTTATGAAAAGACACGGTCAAGGTCAAATGATGTGTGACAGAAGTACCAACTGGACGACTAGTCTTCTCTTCTTTCATGGTGTTACTTCCGTGTCCTTTCTGGTTCTGGCAAGGAGAACATACCCGTACTATTAAATTTCTACGTGCTCATCTTATGTGAGATTCTTCTCATGTCATCGATCTCACATTGATATGAGTACCTATGCTTACATACGCGGCATTGTCCTATTCTCAGTTCTCTTTTGGACAGGAACGTGCAAATCATGTGGTAGGTACGCAAGTTTTTTGTTTTTTTGCGGGTTAGTTGGTTGTTGTGAACATCTCTCTCTCTCTCTCTCTCTCTCTCTCTCTCTCTCTCTCTCTAAATAAAGTAAATTTCGGTAGGTGTTTCCATGTAAATATTCAGACTAGTAACTTGGTCTTTCAGGTTGACTAAGATACACGTTGCCGTCCAAAAGAGAACTGAGAATGATCAGCTTCGTTGGGTCAGTCGCTGATGTTCAACTCCGTGTTGCTATAAATCCACATGACATGCACGTCCAAAAGATACTGCAAATTGACGGGATCTGTATCTACTCTTTTGGGTCGGTCGCCTATGTTCAACTCCGTGTTGTTATAACAAGTTGCAGATTTTTTTTCCTGCAAAAAAAAAAAAACAAGTTGCAGATTAAAAAAAACGACCGGGCACATATAAGATGTGATCTACATATATTTCTCCTATCCTATATAACAAGGAGCTATATATAGTCATTATACTAAAAAAGGAGCTATATATGAGAGCGGCATTACTGGTTATAGCGGCATCTGAACACTTTATCCTGTTCGTTGGTTCATGACTTGGGATGCGCGCTAATGGGCCCATGTCAAACAATACGGACCAAGTAAAATGTCATCGGCCGGGCAGCTGGTGACATCGTGGTGTCCCTTCTTTGCAAAAATGAGCAATTCCCCCCACCCCGCCGCTCCCCCCTTCTCCCCAACCCTACGAAGCGAAGACGGCGGGAGGTGAAGGAATGGCGGCGGAAGGAAGTGCATCGATGTGCGTGGAAGAAGTGTAGAACGGGCTTGAATTTTTGCTAGATCCAGTCGACAAGTACGATGTTTAACTCATCACTCTATTCTTCGGTATCCAGGGATGCCCCAGCAACAGGAAGAGGCTGAATGCTTCTCATTTTCCCCCCTGATGCCGTAGATTTCCTTTGACTGAAGTCACTGCCGACGTTGAGCGGCCAGATCTACTAGTGCTGATGGACGTCTGACGGTCGGCGCCGGCAACTGGCGACTCATCTTGCGCGATTGTAGTTGGTCACACCGGCGCTTCATCTCATCCTAACAGGTCCCCGGGCAAGAGGCCGCTGTCACAAGCAAAATCTGCTGAATCCACTGAAAGTTAACCCCGAGGCACCGGGGTGGACCAGGAGGTAAATATCTGATTCATTGATCTTTTTTAAAGCGCACAATTTGGTAGAGGTGTGCAAATTACAGTAAAAAAAATTGTGACAGCTAGTGTCATGAAAACAAAACAAAGCTAGATTTATAGTCACACTAGTCATATCCTCCTGAGATTAAACCTTAAGATTGGCGAACTGAAAAGTGAGCATCCCTCAAATTTCAGGCTTCGAGTTGGGCACGCTCCCCCGAATAGAGTGCCATGTGCTGGGAGGGTAACTCCTTTGGAAGAAACCATACGGAGATATGCTGACAAACCTTCAGAAATTGTAGGAAGGCCAGAGATTGGGATGAGTTTTGATTCCCTTGGAGAAGCATACGATTTTTATAATCTATATTCATGGGAGCTTGGATTTGGTATACGATACGACAAGAGTCATTTGAATGTTGAGAGGACTAAATGTATGCAAGAAATTTTTTTTGGATGCTCGGTTAGCACCATCAAAATCACAAAAAAATATTTTGGGGATAGTCATAGCCCCTGTATTTTCATATGTTAATCTCTGACTACTGGAAAATTGTTTGTAGGGGAAACCAGAGCAGCAGAATAGCAGGTCTTGCCGTTGCGAGTGCCCTGTGATGGTCAGA